CAAAATACATAGGGACAGTTTCTGAACCTTGGCTGCAGGGAAGGGCAAATGAATAGGGCCTGGTGACCTTGCTGAATGGAGGAGATAGAGGTCAGCATTCAAGGAGACAGCTGCATCTGCAAGTGCACATACAACTCTGGAAAAGAGAGCAAGAGAAAAAAAATCTAGAAATCTGCACAAGTATCCTTTGGAGTTATTGCTGAGTAATAAGCAACCCTCATATAGGATGAAACTACAAAGATGAACAAATAAGAATCACAGAGTGTTAAGATGAACTAGACTCAAATCTCACAGAGGGTAAAGAGATGTTCAGGCTTCCACCAGCCAGAATGGAGAGTTCATTGTGATGCCCCAGAGCACTATGTGAATTCTCTAGAAATTTCATGCTATAGAAGTAAGGCTGCACCATCCTAGAATGAAGGCTTTTATAGATCTATACCCACCTAAAAAACGTTTAAATCACTTCATGCATGGATCACATGGATCCACAAATATCTAATTGCTTGATAGAATAAATCTCTTTAATGGAAGACAACCAAATCTAGACTCATCAATGCAACAGTCACAAAAATTAAACTATAACCAAACATGCCAAAGACAGATAAATGCATTTCATAACCGGGAGAAAGATCAGTTATTAAAAACAGATTCATCAAAGAAGAAATAAATAAATGGAGAGATATTCCATGATCATGAATAAGAAGACTCAATAGTGTCAAGATGTCAGTGCTTTGCAGCTTGATCTATAGATTCAAAGCAATCCCAATAAAAATCTCAGCAAGCTGTTTTGTGGATGCTGACAAACTTATTTTAAAGTTTATATGGAGAGGCAAAAGACCCAAGATAGCCAACATTATATTGAAGGAGAAGAAAAAAGCTGGAGGACTGACACTACCTGACTTCAAGACTTAGTATAAAGCTATGGTAATCAAAACAGTGTGATATTGATGAAAAGAATAAGCAAATAGATCAATGGAACAGAACAGAGGGCTAATAAGTAGACCCACATAAATATAGTCAACTGACCTTTAACAAAGGAGCAACAATAGTAAAATGGAGCAAAGACAGTTTTTTTTAACAAATGGTATGGAAATAACTGGACATCCATGTGCAAAAACATAACACTAGATGTCCTTCACAAAAATTAACTCACAATGGATTATAGACCTAAAAGTAAAAACCAAAAATTGTAAAAGTCCTAGAAGATAATGTAAGAAAAAAAACTTTGATGACCTTGGATATTGTGATGACTTTTTAGATATAACACCTAAGGCATGATCCATAAAAGAAATAATTGATAAGCTGGACTTCATTAATATTAAAAACTTCTGCTCTGCAAAAGATAATGTCATGAGAAGGAGAACATAAGCCACAGAATGGGGAAAATATTTGCATAAGACACATCTGATAAAGGACTGTTATCCAAAATATACAAAGGATGCTTTAAACTCAACAATAAGAAAACAAACAACCCACTGAAAACCTGGGTCAAAGATCTTAGTAGATACCTCACCAAAGAAGATAAACAGATGATAAATAAACACATGAAAAGATGCTCTACATAATGCATCACCAGGGAAATGCAAATTAAAATGAAATATCACTACACACTTACCTGAATGGCTAAAATCTAGAACAACAGCATAGACTGGAAAGGATGTGGAGCAACCATAACTCTCGTTCTTTGCTGATGGCGATGCAACATGGCACAGTCACTTTGGAAGACAACTTGATGGTTTCTGAAAGAACTACACCTGTTTTACCACGTGATCCAGCAGTCACTCCTTAATATTTACTGAAAGGAGTTGAAAACTTATGTTCATACAAAAACCCTACACAGGGATGTTTATAGTAGCTTTATGCATCATTGCCAAAACCAAGGAGCAGAAGATTTTTAGAATCATGAAAATACTATATATGATAACATACTGATGGATCCATGTTGTTCTACATTGACCTAAACCCACAGACTGTACAACACAAAAGGTCATCTGTAACGTAAACTATGGATTTGGGGTAATAATGATGTGTTGATGTAAATCCATCACCTGTAACAAACATCACTTTGGTGGTGAGGCTGATAATGGGAGGTTTTAAATGTGTAGGGGTAGGTGGTATATGGGAAATCTTTATCTTCCTCTCAACTTTGCTGTGACAGCATGAAATTATAAAAGATTAGAAATGGCAGAGAAAATATAATCAAACTTGAATAAGGAGCAAAATAATTTATCCAAAATGACACATGAGACAAAAAGAAAACCGAAAGAACATTGCCCCAGTGACCTATGGAATACCAGTTGTACAGCACACATGTCATTTGTGCCACAGGGGGAAAAAAAAGAGCAAGGGGCAGAAAAATATTTGAAGAAACAATGACCAAATTTTTCAAGTTTGATGAAAACTAAAAACACACAGATTCTAAAAACCACACCAAAGGACATCATAATCAAATGGATAAAAACCAATGACAAAGGGAAAATATCGTAAAAGCACCAGGAGATCAAAAGACAAATGAAATACTGAAGAACAAAGGTCAGAATTACCACAGAGAAAAAGGACACATCAAAAGTAGAACAAGGATGGTAATTTCTTGAGATGTCTTATTATAAATTATGCAAGTCAGCAGATAATGGAGCATAATTGTAAAGTACTTGTGAGGAAAAGCTGATAACCTAGAGTTCTAACATCCAGCTAAAAACAAATTCTTCAAAAATTAAGGTGAGATGAGAAATCCTCAGCTAACAAATGCTGAAAGAATTTTATGCCTGCAGATTTATACTATGGGGAATATTTAAAGAGTTCTCCAGGTAGAAGGAATAACACCAGAGAGACTGGATTTACATAAATAAATGAAGATCACCACAAATGATAAATGTAGAGGACATTTTCCCACATTTTAAGTGTCTTTAAAAGATAATTAACTATTAAAACAGCAGCATCAATTTATTATGGGGTTTACTCTCTATATATTATTTTGTTTTTCATACTAGTCCTCTGACCTTTAATATCACTGCTGGCGAATCCTCTAGAGCAAGTTTCCAAGGTGTAGTATAAAATTTACTGATGATAAGTGCACAATTGTGGATGCTACATAGATGACTTTTGAAAAACTTAATATGTGTTTGTTTTCATAGACATTATAAAATATATAAGTAGAACATAAATTTCTATAATTTCATAGATGATATTTTTCCAGGCAAGGCTTGAGAAGGATGCTGAGTCGAAAATGGAGATGTAAGTAAAAATTTTAATTAATATATGGGGACCACAGGTGCGGCAAAAGTCATCAAGGTGATAACGGAAATGCTTGGATTTTGTGGGTGGGAGAAACTACTTCAAGACACACTAGGATGATTTATCACCCTAGCCTAAGGACTCTGAATTTTAGCGTTGTGTTACCCTCTGCACCTCCTTTCCCCCCCTCCTCCTTACAAACACAAACAACCCCCAACTCATTGGCCAGGACCTCAGACACACACCCGCATACACTTCTAATGTAAACCTTCCAGCTGGCCAGTGTTGTAATGAGTGAAATGACTTACAGGTGAACCTAATGGACTCCAGCCCTCCAAGCTGACCCCCTGACTCTCCCAGGTACCAAAGTCTGTGGTTTATCAAGAGGAGGCTCCAGCACATGGATTTCAGGGTGTTTGGGGGTGATTTATGAGCTTACAAACCAGGTCATGAGTAGGAAATAAGTGCCATTTATCAGCTCTCCAGAGTCAATGGCAGACGGAGTAAGAGCCGGCTCCAAGGCCTAATAAGCAAACAACTCTCACCTGCCGAGGAGGGGGCAGGGAACAGGACTCACCTACAGCCAGAAACAGAGACTTCATCTTATTTCTCATCAAATACTACTTTTGCCAAGTAATATTTTTCAATTCCAGTTGGGAAAAAAAAAGGGCATGTCAAAATTAATGTCAAGAGTTGATGTTACGAATAAAAAATTGTGCCAAATTAGCACTTCAGATTTAATTTGATATGTAGCTTGCTGCCGAGGAACTTGAAACGTTTGCAGTTGTTGGGAAATAGTTACAAATGGCAAACAGCTTCCTCCATCACCTTCTGCTCCTCTCCTCCCCTCTCTCCATAGCATCTCCTCTGGGAGAGGCAGCTACAGGCTCTGGGTGTGTGTCGGAGAGGGGTGGGGACAAAGATAGCTGTCGCAAGGACCTGGGGTCACTATAGTAAATTGTTAGAGTGTTTCTAATTTGCATTTCATATGAAGGATTTTCAGGTCGAGGTTTTAAATAGAAACTACTTAAATTCAGATCAGTATGTTAGAATTCACATTCTTTGAGACATAAAAGATTTTGGAAAAAAATCAGCCTATCTTCATAACCTGCTCTAGCCAAGAACTTGTAAGGACAACGTTGTACGGCATTTGTCTCAAATTTGTTTTAACTTTTTAAATTCTCTTTTTAACAATCAAGTTAAAGTTAACTGAACTTTTTGCTTTTTGTTTTTGTTGAGCACTATTCTGAAACAGGCTGATTTATGTCACATGGAACTTAATTTCTTTTCCTTTATCCCCGGCATTCTGACTCCACATCAAATGACTCTTTGATAACGTCAACTTAATTGTATGAACTTGAACCACCGAAATGGGGCTTCCATTTTTCTGAAGTGTGTTACCCCAAAAGGTAGATACCCTGGTTCTTTCATACCTGAAACACAAGTTTGCAGTCGGGAGATGGCGCCTTATGTAGAGAAACATTTTAAAAGATTTATTTAAAAAGAAAGGAAAAGTATACCCACCAAGAACGGGAGGCGGGCTGATCTAAGGGAGGAAAAAGCGGCGGGTTTTGTTTCCCTTTCTCTCACATCTTCGCTTAGAGGTGGTCTTTTAATTGATTGACGGCTTCCCCTGGAATGCTTAGTCATGTTTGGCCCCTTTGCGCATGTCCTTACCCGTGATATATACAGAAAAGCCCACGGGGGCTGGAGGAAGGGGAACCTAAACGGCAACGTTAATGAGAATACAGTGGACATTGGTCGTGTCCCGTTAGGTCCTTTCTGCTACCGTGCAGCCGTGGCTGTCCGGTTTTAACCAGTATTTTTGCTGGCACTCATTTAGAAGACGTCAAGTCCGTTTATGCTGGAGGTGAGCATACCTCCCTCTTCCGGACCATCCTCCCTCTTGTTGCTGAAAGATCGCCTCCGTCCCTGACGAGCCAAAGAAGACAGTGACTACCAGGAATTCTGGTCCTTCCTGCTTTCACTCGCAGGCCAGGATACTTCCCATGGCACGCCTCTTCGCCTCACACCGCAGGGCTGGAGTCTGTATTCCAGAGAAGGCGCGGCTCTGTTCCCTCTAGAAAGGATATCTTGAATGTTTGGTGAGCACACTTGGCCTCAGAGAAACTCCTGAAATTTTAATGTGTTTTCTTGTCAATCAAACAGATGTCCAGACTCCTGTTGTGCTTCTGTGCCCTGGAGCTTAACTGCCTTCAGCATTGCTGGTATGAGGTTGTCCTTTCTTAATGGGCCGCCAGGGACCGAGTGAGAGCTGAATCCTGGCTGCCTAGTACCCCTGTGAAAAGGGAAGGAGTCCCCACCGGCAGGGAGACAATGCACATATCAGACCGTTGTGGTGGCAGAAGATCCAACAAGTGAAATATTCAGAGGAAGCTGAGGCAGAGGCCACACCCCAGGAGCCAGGTAAGTCACCTGTTCATTCATTACTTTATACAACAAATGTTATGGGCCACCTTCTATGTGAATGCACTCTACTAGAATCTGGAGAATATACAATCAATAGCTCATCTATTCTTATTCTAGAAACTGAATTAGGAAGCCTCACCTAAAAAACTTCTAGAAGAGAAGCTATCACAAATAGAAAAAGTTGGTGCTGAGAACCAAATGCGAGGCCCAGGGTAAAAATGTATAATTTCCACACAGTGCAGGAGTTATTAGGGCTCTGGTTATGACAAATTGCAACACTAACTGACAGATCTTGTTCACTTATTATGTGTCAAGCACGTGTATTAGCTTATTTAAATTCTTAAAGTGGACTATGTATTTCCCTGTTTAAGGACGCAGGTGCTACACCTTGGTAAGTTTTAACTAACTAGCCCAAACTCACACAGCTATGAATTACTGGGGCCAGGAGTCAACTCCAGGGATTTTAATTAACAGCCAAACTCCGACAAACGAAGCCTGCATGGAAGACATGACAGTGAACCAAAGATTGAGATCTGAGTTGATGAGAATGAAAGAGAAGGACCAATCACTGGGAGGAGTAGGTAGAAGCGGCAGAGACCTCCATGGTTTCAGAAGCTTATAATTTATGCCCAAATGACGTCTGTTGGGATCACATAATTGGCATGCTGATGGTACACTGTGGCAGGGCCAATCCTAACACACATCTGATTGTTTACTTCTTTCTAGTTTTAGGAGGCAGAGTTTTATTTTCATGATTACTCTGATTTGGGAGAATATTCCATATTTTTAAATAAAATTTAATTTCAGTTAGAAATTATGATAATGGCAAAATTCATAAAATTTATTTTTTTATATTAGGGTATATTATGAAATGTGAAGTGTGATTTTTTTTTAACTTTTATAATATTTATTAGTGCTGTTTTCCAAGCTACCAGATATGCTCATGAACTATTATGACTTTATAAAGAAACCGTTTTAATAAACACTACTAGTAAACCCTTTGTCTATAAAAAGTAGAAAATAGCAAAACTCTTCCTGTAGCAATAAATTACCCCTCCAAAAAAAATATACCCGTAGGAAACTACTTTGTTTCATCCTATCTAACCATTGGCCTTACATGATTTTAAGTTTAATAAATATTTGATAGCATGAAAACAAAAGGGTGGTTGTTTGGAATACTGTGAACTGGCTGCGCAGAAATAGATACATCCCATATCAAGACAGATGAGTTAACAGGGTTACTATCCGTTTGCTACTTCAACTAGAACAAAAGAAAGACAAGCCTGTTGAATCACTACACTTTTACTCCTTTGCCCTGGGCTCTGGATGATACCACTGATCAGACCCTCTGACTAAGGAAAATCAGTGTGAAAAGAAAAAAAGGAAAAAAAAATTAGATCTTTCCTCCAAAAAAAAGATGCTCTTCATCAAAAAGTAACACAAAACAAATCAGTGTTGTCATTTTTGAAGAGTAATTCTTGTGCTGTACAATAGAAGACAGAAATGAAATGAGTTACGTAGCTGAAACTAGAGATCAACTCGTCTTACAGGTGAATAGAGCTCTATTCTTCTTCTGCATGGTGTGTGATATGTTTTATTTTGAAATTTGATACAGCAATCTAGCCCCTTCTTCAAAGATGTGAAGCCTAGGTTGAGTCAAAGATTTGCCCAGGCAATGTGGATGTTAGTGACAAAAGTAAGCCGGACTAGAGCTCTTCTGGATTCTTTCTGGTCAAACTATATGTTCTTTCTAATTAATAGAAATAGTAGATGTGTGTGTCACCCACATTATTGGATGTCTCTTATTTTAAGGAAGTTTTCTTCCAAATCACCACTTCCATTCTTTACAATCAAAATGTATATTTGCTAAGTATTTCTGTCTTCTTACACCCAAGAGTTCCTTGAACATTAGGATCATGTGTTAACCATCTCGGTGTTTTTCACAGCCTCCAGTATACACCAAGGTCCTTTGCAAGGATGTCCCGCTTTAAAAGGTTGAATGAATAAATGTATGTGTGATACTGAAGCAGAGAGGTAGCAGGATGCAGTTAATCACACTAGGGTTAAAAGATAAACCTAGCTCGGTTATCTACCTTTTGTAGAATTTAGGGCAAGCTGCCTCACTTTTTAAATTTTTCGAATTTTCTTTTTTTTTAATTTGTAAAAGGGAGGTCCTAATAGAACTTAATCTCACAAGATTCTATGAGAATTGAAATGGATTAATACATGGGAAATGCTTGGTACCATCTGTGGTATTAGTAGGGTTTTAATTAATTGTTACTATTATCTAAGCCTACTCATGTTTAAAAAAACAAGGGTCAAAAAGTCTTGTGTTGCCATAGTCGGTTACTAACAAGTTTGAAGAGTTAATGTTTTCCTTGAGTCAAAAGCCCACTTCTCTCCAAAACAGCCGTTTGAATTCAGCACTCGGCTAAAAGGTGAGGCAAGCGTTAACTCACAGAGGAGTGCAGTGTGTGCACTGAAAACGCAGCCCTGAGTTTTCCGTAGCCTAGCGTGTATGAGGTAATTTGATGTTTGATTCTCCTGTTACTAACGCAGGAGTGATGATTCTTGTAACTTTGTGTCCTTCCGCCCCTGCCGCGGCTCAGCTTCAGGGGGATGGTTGGCAGTGACGTGGTACTGAGCTGATGACACCGACCAGCTTCCCTCCTTGTAGCTCTTGAGTGTCTGCTTTGTGTTCAGATCAGTGAGAAGAAGGCCTCACAGCTCCTCAGAATGACATATACATCGGCAGTAATTACTTTCGGAAAACGAAAAAGGAATTAAAATCAGAGCCTGAGTGTAGAAGGGGGTGGCAGGTTTTTGGAAAAGTGTATTGGCAATTTGAAGCATGAATAATTAATTCTGTCTTGAGATTAAGTTCAGTCTGTGTTTATGATCTGCTGAAAAAAGAAAAACAACCTCTAATGGGTTCTAAATAAATTCAGTATCAATTTAAACTATTAGAGGAAGTTAAATCAAAATAATTAGGATATTAAAATACTTTGTGCATTTCCAATCACTGCCTTATTGAGGCTCTGGACCTTTTCCAAGGAACAATAATAGCATGAATATATTAGGATGTTTGCTTCCCTTAGAATGTGACTGCTCATGTAAAGATGATTGGGTGGGGGGAGGGTTGTAGCATGCACAAGGTCCTAAGTTCAATCCCCAGTACCTCCATTAGAAGTAATAATAATAAATAAATAAGCCTAATTACCCCCCCCCGGAAAAAAATCCCCCCTCAAATAAAATACAGTTAAAAAATTATTTTTAAAAAGATGATTGAAAACTTGCAGGAGACAGAAAGCCAGACTGATGTGTTGATACGTTCAAGGGAGTAGGTGCTATATACACGATGAATTATTTTGTAGCTATAGATTGAAAACAGCATAGTGACAGTTTACTGCTAAGATAGTTGAACTTGATTATTCCTTATTTGCAGTAATTGCTTCATTACATACTGCAGTAAGGATGGCATTATTTTTGTGACATTTTCAATTACTATAGAATGAGTTGGTAAAATCTGAATAAGATTAAGGTGAATTCCAGTGGGACGCAGAGCTTGGTCATCTGTTTATTTTGCTTATGGCTATCAGTTCTTGCTGTAGTTTAATTGGAGATCAAGGATTTGCCCTCTGTGGTACTCTTTTAGGCTTACCCCCACCCTGCTTATTCGTGCTGGGAGCACAGTAAGCATGGAAATTAGAACAAATGCGAAGAATTTTGGGATGTATTTTGCCCTTTTTCTGAAGCAACTGCTTATTTATTTATAAATAGTTTTGGTGAATCTATTTAGTGACAGCCATGGTGCAATGCCCATCAACATTCAGAGAACCCTCTGGGTTTAATTATTTTAGGGTTTAGAGGAATTGGTCTGTGAGTGATTTCCCTGAATTATTTCAATTTTTTTATTGTTGTTGTTTCTTTGTTTGTTTCTTTTCTCCTAAGCATTATTCAGCTCACCTACATTTAGGTTTGTATTTTGAAAAATATTACTAATTAGTCCAACATAAATACGATTTGATATCGAAGCACTGGCTACCAGAGCGCCAGACTCTTACTGTGGCAATTTAGTCCTTGCTTTCCTATTTTTTCCCAGAGGGAGAGAGAAGGAGAGAAGACAGACTTTCAGGGCAATTTAATGGATCCTCTATCTCCAGCAGATCATGAAGTATAATTCCTGGTTATGGTTCAAATGACCCAGCAAAACAGTAGTAGTTTGAGCACCAAGCAGATCAATGAAACTATAAACAAAATTTAACAAGCAATTGCTAATTATTCTTAGTAAAATTGTGAAAATGTTTATGTATCCTAATGAAAATGAATAATGGATACTTAATTCCCCCTCCCTCCCCCTCTCTGTATATATATATATATATATATATATATATATACATACACACACTCCATATATATATTTTTTTCCCTTGCTTGAAATACCCTTCCCAGTTTGTAATGTTAATGGAAGTGCACTGTTTCTCTGCCTCATTAGAAAGGGGTTGTTAAGCTTTCAAAACAGAAATCTTTATATATTCTAAAATAGAGCTGAGCATCAGCAATTGGAAAATTGTATCTTTAAAGGCTTTGTCTCACTTCAGAGGATTCAATAGGAAAGAGCGCGAGGATTTTTTTTTGAGTCAGTTTTCATAATAATTCTAATAGAGAAACTGTCTGCATTGTCGGACTGTGCCACTCATCTGTGTCACTTTCTTCCTTCGGGGGGTCTCCCTATGCTTTAATTCCTCATGTGCACAATAAAGCTAAAATCATCCTCTTTCAGTCTCCCTCAGGATGTGGGTGAACAGTGTGTGAGAGAAGCTAGAAAGGTTGTCAAGGGGAAGGTAGGTCAGTGAGGTGGGGAAGCATTGAGTTTGGGGCCAGATAGTCCTGTGTTTTCTTGCTGACACCATGACTGACCTCAGACAAGTAGCTGTATTTCACTGAGCCTCCATTCCCTCACTTGTAGAATAAGTAAATTAATAATATCTACTCTG